CACGTCACATTTCACCATCACCCAAGGGATTTTGGCCCATGAGAATCATCCCAATCCACCAATATCCACCATCCACCGGCATCCGGCACCTGTCTGTGTGCCGGGATCAAAGAAAAGCCCCCAAGACATCCAGGAACTTTGCTCCCACGATGAATTCGCATTTTCATCTCCGCCAATGGCCGACCACACCACCTAAGACTAAGAGCTGCTCCGAGGAACAGTTTCATTGGATTGGTTCAAGGGATTTTTTTTACTGGAAACTTCCATATATTTGATGATAAAAAACGTGTAAAATACTATCATTACCTGAGATCTTCTCTTCCAACCCAGCAAAACCGTTCACATTCCACTAGGAAGATCGGGGTGAGAAGGAAACCCTCTGACAAAAATGATGCTGGTCTGGGATCATCATCAATCATTTTATCGAGTTTGAAATGGAAAATTCCAGGGCCGGCAGTTCAGACCCCACTCCGTGCGGGTCTAAGAAGCAGTTCCGGAGCCAATCAAAATCATCGCAGCGGCCTAGGTCTAGGTTGGTGTTTGGTGGTTTCAACCCATCCCAGAAATATGCGAAAATCATCGAAAATCAATGGGAACCATCAGGTCAAATATGATTGAAAACCAGTGGAACCACCGATGAAATTGGAGATTCTCTGCAATTCTCTGCAACCATCATCCATGATCCTTCAAATCCGTTTCAGGAGATTTATCAACCCCACCAACCCCTATTGGAATCTCCAGCACCTCTGAGCAAGAGGCCAACAGCGACACCAATTGGCCACGACCATCTCCTTGCAACCAGTCACGCCTCAAGTGGTGCTGCCGCAGGGGATGGTTCCATTGAGATGGTTCCCGAATATGGTGATGGTGAAAGGATGGTAACCATCCCAAAAGAAATATGCGAAATTCATAGTTTTTGACCCATCCCTCCTTTTTGGAGGGCAATGAATTTTGACCCATGCTCACATGTGTGGATAGTATAGATGTTGCAAATCTCCTCAGTTTCTGACCAATGTCGCAGAGCAAACCAAGTCCGAACTGCTTCTGGCATGCAAAAGTGCAGAGGGAATGTCAGGTTGAGCACTGGTCGCGGTATATTTTTTTAGAACTCTAATTTGCGTTTGTAACGAAAATCGTTCGGAAATGTGCAAAATGACAAATAAATATGATTGAATATGTTCCATCATTCTACAGATGAAAATGTGAAACATTTCAACAAGGACAATTTCTGCCAATGGCCACTAAAAGATCTGACATCCCTGCCACCCAGCCTTTCAGACTACAGCATAGGCAGCAAGTCCTTCTTTTTTTCTCTCTGAAGAGGCCATTTTGTCCTGGATTCGGTGTCTGACGGTACACACAAGCAGCCGAATTCTGCAAGTGTACTCCATGGCAATCAAAGATATTTATAGATATGTTTTCTCATTTATATAAGTTTCCAGTTTTAGGGATTTTCTCATTACCATGTTTGATTGCTGGGGAGTATATAGTCCCATTCCCAGGTCACTTGGTGAGTTTCACCAATTGAAAACCCCCAGCATTTCGTCCTGCGAAATTGCTCTTTTGGCTTTGCGTCCGGCTGTCCTTGTTTTGAACATCGTGCCATTTTTTGGGATCATTGAAACTGCAAAATGGTGGTGTCTCTGGTTTGATGAAAAAAATTGCCGCCCAACCTCTGGCACGATTTTTTGGCCTTTGGAGCAGCGCATTCTGTCCTGGAAATACCGCAGAACGAATCAAAACATCATTTTTGCAATCGCTACGAAGACCCCAAAATCGTATGGTTTGTCATAATTTTCCACATTTGGGCATCCTCCGTTTTTGGGCAAACCCAAATATGTCAATCCATTGATAAGCGCGGGCGGTGAAACCATATTGCAGTGCCTCCTTCACATCAGCCACATCCGGCACAACCGAGATTTCCATGGGCAAACATGGTCGCTGAGAGAAAATACCCAAGACATGTTCACTATTTCTGGTGAAGAAAAAATATCCACACTGCAGGATTTAGCAATTTCCATCTGAATTCAACTGTGCAACTGGATGTTTATTGTAACCTTGTGCGTTTTTGTTCCTTGAATTGCATTGCAAATTGCATCAGACACATTCAAACAATTACAAGTCAAAAACATACTACATCCGGCAGATTCATCATATTCATTCCAATTTAAAATATATAGGTAAAACAGCAACGCCAAAAACAAACATCACAAAACCATAAAACCATTCACGTTTTTGTCCATATGTGTCATCGGCAAAGCGAATGTGATCTCCCCGCCGTTGTGCAATAACATTGTGCCACAATGATGTGGAAGTGAAAACAATCAAACAAATGATGACAATGATGTTGATGATGATGATGATGATGATGATGACACACGATTTTTTTGCACCATGTGGTTCTGTGATTCATGAAAGTTGTCCTCTCCCATCCGTTCTGATCGGGGATGTGCCCAAAAAAAGATTTGATTTTCCCATCTCATTTGCTTCAAGTACTGGGTGTTGAAGGTGCAAAAGCAGAGGTAGCAGTGGTCGGGCGTATTGGGTTCAAATCTAGTTACCGACCAAGTGCAACACACAAGCGTCACACCTTTTCCTTGAAGCATGACGTGTGCTGAAAAGGCGCTGCGGACATGCACGCGTCTTACATGACATGTCATCTCTACAGCTACATCTACACATGGGGTTTTACCCATGGTATGTTGCCACCCTCCTTAGAGTGACATGTGGTTTGGTGAAACCTTTCTACAGGTCTTCGTCGGAGTCAAAGACCTGATCTCTGTAGCCGGACCCTAAGAACCGGTCTTCGGCTCTTCGCCACACAGCGAGCTCCTCTTCCGTCATATTCTGGAAGGGATCGCTTCGAGTTATGTCCTCAACGTCTTGTTGGGACTCGGGCTCTCGCTGCGGCGGATCTGGCGGGTCAAACCGCTCTGGCGGGTCTTCCCGCTCCAGCGGGACATCCCGCTCCTCTGAAGAAGATTCATCCTCAGCGGAGGCGTTGTCCTCTTCCATGGGTCAGTCGCTTTTCTTGTCTGCGCCATCTGATGAGCTCCTCCAGGGTCATGTTTGCTTCAGCTCCCCTTTGGGCCCATCTTTCTTCATGCCACCTTTCGACAGCTTGAAGAGTCAGTTCTACTCCTGACTGCCGCGGGGCTTCCGCTGGCGCAGCCATTCGAGCATTTCCGGCTTTGATTGCTAGTTTTCCTCCATTGCGGGTTGCCGTGAACCTCACATTCAGCTGAATCTTGGGATCCTTGAATCTGCAGCTGAACTTCCGCTCCTTGAGTAGGAACCAGTTCTTCTGGCTCGAGAGGAAAGAGCCATTCCGCAATTTGCCCGCCAAGTTGACACACTTTCCACCACACGGTGATAGTTCCAATCGCCGCCAGGATACAGAGGATCAAAATCATGCTGCCAAGTGTTGATTTCCTGCTGCTGCACTGCGACAACGTTAATCTGGCTCAGGAGCACCAGGGTCTTAATGGCATTGACCTTGGCATTCCCTTGGGTCACCGTGGCAGTCTTTCCCGCTCCTTCTGCCTGCTTGTGAGTCCAGGCGACAGAAGCTGGGATTGGTGTCTTCTATGTTTGCTGTTTGTTGATTTGGGATACTTTCACATTGATGTGTTTTGAGCTTGACAGGATGTCTTCTCCTTGCGGAGGTTTCATACATTCCAATTCCAAGTCCCGGCAGTGCTTGTCGCACCTCCGTTCCAGACTTGGGATGCTTTGTGAGAAAATTCGCACAGTTCACTGTTCCCGTGACTTTCCCCAAGGACAACAGCTTGGCCTGCAAGACTCCCTGCATGTAAAACTACGCAGTTTGGCTCCAGGGCCAATGCGCTTTGAAGCTTGGATCGCCGATGAACTGTCTGTCCATAGGCAGGGCTTCCCGCACGTCTGCCCAAAGTCGAGAATAATGAGATCCTTCACCTTCAAGAAGATCCCTTCTCGCGCCGCTCGAGATACTCCTCCAAGCTCGGCATCAGGCGACTACGTTGCAGGTAAACCCGGTTGGGTTTGAGTTGTGCAAGTCACAACTGCCCCTGCCACAATGAATGACAAGATGGCTGTCTGTTGACCTGCGTGTCTCCAGGCATCCTGCCCAGTCGCTGTCGCTATAAAGCTCGATTGACCAGCGCTCACCAACCTTCTGATCACAGGTAATCACCCGTGAAACGGTGGGATGTGCCTGCAAGTATGCTGCCCGGGTTTTCACAGACTGCATGTCACACTTCCTGGGGTTTGACATTCTTCGTGCAGCTTCCTTGACAGCAAATTGTGATCCCTTCTGTCAAGTGACAAGTAGATGGCTGAGCCTGGCCCTGCGCGCCTTGTTTCTCGTAGCTTCCATTGCCTGTCTGCCAGAAGCTGACTGCAATTTTTTGCAGGGAAGTCGCCAGGGCCGATGAATCCCATGGACCTCGACCATGTCGGCGAAAACGGACATGCGTTTTTTTCCTTCGGAGTTTGGCCGATAAGGCTGAATGGCTCGGTCCTTTCTAATACATCTAAATGAGAAAATAAAACAGTGAAACCTGTACAATGAAAGCAAAAGACGCAGAGCTGAAGGAGCAGCTATGCAGAAAACTAAGTAAATTAGCGAATTAGATTGGCCAGCAGAAGCACACAACCACACAACGAAAGCACCAAACCACACAACGAAAGCACCAAACCAAAAGCCCAGCGGTGTCTGGCACGAAGGTGCCAATGCCTCCTTGGCCGAATGACAGATTGCCAATGTGCAAGTGTGTTATCCAACATTAGTAGATTGGCCTTGCAATCCAACACAGAATAGCCAATAAATACGAATTAGGACAGTGACCCTCAGATGCACACTAACTGGTCTAACTGTACAGTATCAATATCCCACACTCAGAGTCCACTCAGCTGAGCTTCGTGAAGTCATCAGGAACTCGCTTGCACAGCACGTTGTTGTGTCACCCATAGAGATCCAAGACGACAGTCCAGAGTTGCACTACGGAAAGTAACGCCCTTCAGGCGGGGCCAAGCTGCCAGATTGCGGAGCAAACCCAGCAAGCCGGTGTGAACTTCGCCACACCAGGCACTTCAAGTAGCCAGCAGGACCAAAGGCTGCCATTGATGGCCATGCCGCCCCAGACCACATACGGCATCTCCAAAGAGTAGTTCCCACACAGCTGGTGTGAGCTTCGCATCACCTAGCCAATCATGGGACCAACGACAAAAACTTGGAAAGCCAGTGTACCAGGGTTATAGGCAATTTGATGCCACATATCGAAGACACTGCGTCAGCTAGTAGGCATGTCTCCGGCGCCACTGCTGTCTACTTAAAAGGCTGCTGCACCAAGGGAAGCGCTTGAGGATATCCAAGCAGTGGGTCGGCATCTCACAACACTATAGCTGCTAGAACACCCAGACGCCCACCTCTATGCAGCTGCTAATCGTAGTAGTGCGAAAATCCAACAGGGCCTAATTACAACCCCTAGTCGCGTGCGCTCGCGGATCGAGTCGAATTGGGTCAGCCTCAAACGCGTCGGACGTAAAAACAAAAAACAACCCAAATTCACGACGGCTTCACTGCAATGCTCTCGGTTCCTTTTTCCACACAGGAAACACAAAGGAAACAAGCTGTCTGTCCAGCTACGTTGACTTGCACGTGCAACATGCATAGTTTGGTTTTCTTCTGTTGAAAGGACAGTAGCGGCATGCAAAGAAAATAAACGTTCTTCTCAAACTTCTCATCACCATGTTGGGTGAATTCAACATGTTTGAATTCACCATTGCATTCCAAAATCAACATTGTCCATTTGCATCTCGTTGGCAAATTCCAAAAACGCCCAAAATCATCTTCAAACATTCGCACAGCTTCCAGAAATAACATGCAGCCCGGCAAAACGAAGTTTCAATTGGAGTTGTTGTTGAAAAAAGCATGCACATGTGTTTGAAAAACGACGACTCAAACTCGCCCACATCAAAAGCACTTCTGAATTCATTTGCAGTCCAGATAACATCTGAGGCAAATGAATTCTTTTACCGCTTCTCTCACTGTCAGGACCGAGCCTTAGAGCGAGATCGGCCGCAACAGAGGAAAAAAGAAATCTGAGGCAAATGAATTCTTGCCAAAAACATCATTCTCCTCCACAAAGTTGACGAAATAAAACAGCATGCACCATAAACGCATTCCATGCTTTCGCAACCAATTCCAGACGTTCTCAAACCGTTCTGGTTCAAGTTGGCTTCCATCTATAACAGTTATTTATTTATATAATTTATATACAATAAATAAATAACACAACACATAAAAACATAAACGATCACCCTGCGGTTCTCGAGGCCAAACGCTTTCTCTCTCCTTTTCGACTGCCGATGATAGATCCGATTTCGAAGCAACAAAGATCTGTTTGATCTAAGCCACAAGTTTTATCCCAATGGTCTGATGGTCATACTTTCCCCCATCAGAACCATAGAGATTTAAAGGAAAGAAGGGAATGTTATCCCGAGGAAGTAGAAACGCGTTCGAAACATCGAAGAATGCCAGCGTTCGCTGAGCAAAAAACGAAATGGTCATATTGAATGACTGAAGCGGAATAAACGCTAATGGACGTCATCGCCGAATGACAGAAGGTGAAACTGGTGATCCTGTAAATAGAAACCAAAAACAGACTATAAATCATCCCCAAATATATAAGGTGTGGGAGGGAGGGTTAAAACAAGAAAACAAGCATAAAACGCATGAAAGCCAACTTGAGCCAAAATGTTACCACATTAGTAGATGAAGTCCCACTACCCCAAAACATTAGTGAACAAGTACACTACACGTTCTGGTTCAAGTTGGCTTCCATCTATAACAGTTATTTATTTATATACAATAAATAAATAACACAACACATAAAAACATAAACGATCACTGCGGTTCTCGAGGCCAAACGCTTTCTCTCTCTCTTTTTCGACTGCCGATGATAGATCCGATTTCGAAGCAACAAAGATCTGTTTGATCTAAGCCACAAGTTTTATCCCAATGGTCTGATGGTCATACTTTCCCCCATTTTCTATCTGACTGTTGGGATACAAACGCAATTAATACCCCCAATAAAAAGTGTTGGATTCCGGCAGTCGATTAGAAAGAGAGAGAAAAAACAACATTCTACGGAAGTTCCCAGGAGAGAAGGTTCAGGCGGATGCCAAAGTTGATGGAGAGATATCGGAAAACGGTTGTGCAGTGCATGATTGAATGGTGGGTCACTGACAAAGTCCCAACGGCTCAGCGCGTCAGCTTCTTCATTTCGATCGCCAGAAATATGCGATAGATCCAATTCCATTCCAGAAATTGTGCATAGCAACGTCAACTTTTCCAAAAAGTGGTTCAGGGGAGACTTAGTAGAAAATAATTTGTTGCCACCTGCTTCAGTGCCAGTGTTATCTGTTAACGAAGGAATCCGTAACGGAAATCGGAAGCCAGGAGAGCTGCGACTGAAAATGTACAGAATGGCCATCTGAGCCAGGGTTTCAAAGGAGGCAATACATTTCTGCATTTCTTTGGTAACTGGAATGTCCAGGGCAGCAAAATCATTGAAAGTGAATTTTTCACTGAACCAAATAACTGTGCCCGATGGAAAATAAATAAAGCCCCCAATCTGACATATATCAGAGGAGGCCATGGCATCTGCTGCACAACGACCTGACCAGAGTTGTTTGGGACGTAGACATTTAACCAGTGAGACAGATTGCAGCCAATCCGCATACAGTTGTAGGACTCGATGAGAGTCAGCGCTTAATGATCTGCGAACTGAGGAAGGATCACGAACTCGAAGCCAAGTCCTACGTTCAGATAAATAATTTTGATGTAAATCCGCTTTGCAAGTGACAGCTTGATGTCGAACCGCCAGCAAGGTGCTTCCAATCGGGATGCCTGTGCCCGTGGGAGTTTTGAGAAATTGTAAATTATCATCCAAACAATCAATGACATGTTTCCAGTGTCCTGGATCAATGCTGTAATGGCTGGCAGGAATGTGATATAAATCGCGATACAAAATTGGGAGCCAACATCGCATGAGCAAAAATATTTGTGTGATCCAATTCAGCAGTCCCACTAGTTTCTCAAGGGATTTCTTGGATGTCCGTGAGGATTTCCGCATCAAGGAGATATACTCCCCAAGTTTGTCAACCTTGTTTTGTGGCAAGCTAATGAATCCAGCGGTGATGTGAAATTGCCAACCAATCCATTGAACCCGCGGGCCAAACTCAGTTTTGCGCCAAGAAATAGGAATGCGCAAGACCTGTGCTAAAATACAGCACAGGCTTGACATAATCCAGGCAACCTTTTCAGGAAACAGGAAACAGAAGTCATCAACGTAGATGAATCCAGCGTGTGTCCACCACAGCAGAAAGTGGATGCAGCGTAAAATGAAGCTGCCAACCCGGGTCCAATGATAGGCACTGAAAGTGGCCCCAAATGGGGCCACCTTATAAAAATAGATGGCCCCATCTAAAGTAAATCCCAGGAGTCCGCGGTCAGATTCGCGAATCACCACCAACTTGTGGGCTGATTTGATGTCGAGGGAAAATCCCACCATAGGTTCATTGGAGTTTCTTAAAGGATATACACGCATGACATCCTGAGCACTCGGAAGGGTTGTCTTCTCGGGTATGCTGCACCTGTTGTTGACTCCGCAGATTGATGAGTCAACAACTAATCTTGGCGGCCTGGTGTCGCTTAATGCCAGGCCTAATTTCCCAATGGCAAGTTTGTCACCAAATTCCTGTTGCGCATCTTCCAGAGTGCCATCATATTTATATATCCAGCCCTTTTCCAGTTCTTGGAAGACAAGGTTTCTTGTAGTAGGCAAATCAGATTCTGCAGACTGCCAGTTGGTTGAGTGTACTGACAGCGGTACATTTTCATCGCTCTTATCTTCCGTTTGTGGAAAACAACCAGAAGCAGGAATATTGCCATCGAAACCAGTTGGGGCCCCTGCCAGTAACATGGGAAATAATGTTGTATCTCGATCATCCAAAATACGAGATAATGCCGCCATGATCGAAAGCTGCATGGGTTGATCCGCTCTGATTGACCAATCGGGAACCAGTCCATGAGATTGGATAAATTCAGTCAAGGTGTTTTTAAATGGGATCAAATCCTCTTCTGTAAAAGGTGGTTGAGCATCCCCTGAATTGAAAAAGGATTTCATTTTTTGAATCAAACCGTTATCTAACAATAGTTTCACCCATTGCCTGCGAAGAGCTTGAAATGTGTCTGGGACAGCTCGAAAAGGTCGACTCCAGTCGGGTTCAGAAAATAAACCGCCACCATCTTCATAGCTCACCGGCAGATCACTCAGTTGTTTGATGGGAATATATTGTTGCACTGACGATAAATCCAAAAGTTGTCCAGAAGCCGGAGAGCAGAGTGGTGATATGATGTCCGCTATGGCAGAACACATCTCAGATGGATATTCAGCCGTTGCTCGACTTTTGTAAGATCCGTCTGGATTCCGTGCTCCTGCAATTTGCTCGTGGGTGCCCGGAGGATGGCCACACACTTTACCCAGGGATTTCATGGCTGGGTATGTACATGCAAGAAGCCAGCTTTTGTACCAGTTACGATTGTAAGCACAGGCAGGAAAATTAACCAAAAATAGAGCACAGAATTTGATGAATCGTCGTACCAGTGGTTCAAGCCAAGCCATGGAATTGGTGGGTTGCTCCAGGTGTCCGTGACCTCCTGCTGCAAAAATTAACTCCAAACACAAGACGCTGCGTGCCATCAAGGTATGGCTGGATTGAATCTTCTCCAAATCAGAAGGGCATAAGTTTGGTATGCCGTCCAAAAATTGTGGTGTGCGCAACGCTGGAGGTCCGCCTGGTTGAAGCTTAAGACGGCTGTACTCACCACAATTCGGTGCTGCCGCACCATACCCTACGAGTCCAGAAGCACAGATGCGTAGTAAAGGTTCAAAGAAAGTATTATCCAAAAGATCCATTTTGGCATCGATCAGCTTATCCACCGGGAAACATTTGCATCCACGATTGAGCATGGCTGATGTCAGTGGGTAGCCCGCTCCTGCACAGATATCCAGAAAAATTCTGGATCCTTCAAGTGATGAAACATCCACAGAGGTTTGAACCGAATGCGGAATTGACAAGGGAGGATGTGAAACTGCTGGATCTGTCGAATGGTCAACCATTGTTGAATCCTCGAGGACATCGTCCGGCGATCCAATCTGTACCAGGGGCTGGTCTGCTGTATGTGAAACCACTGATGCCTCCGCATTGTCATCCAAGAGTCAGTGAGGTTGTTGCTGATGATCAAAAGCACTGTGTGGCTGTCCACACGCCTGCCCGGATGATAATGGATGGGCACACAGGTGACTGAACTTGCAAGTGTCACCCTTTTGACACTTCCCGGATTGGTATTGCATGCAAAGCTGATGTCGTTTTCCTTGAACAGTGGCTTCGGTGACCCAAGTAGGACGAGAAGTGGTGTCGCCCTTTTTTCCGCCCTGTTTTGACTTCCCTTTGGATTTCCCACGACCTTTGGCAGAAACTGGGGCCGCCGCAGAGCTGGATGTGGAAGTTGGACGAACTGATATCTTCGGCCGAGGTTGGAGTAGAGAAGCCATATCTGATCGCAGGTGGGTCACCTCATGCAAAGCATTATCCAACGTAAATTTCTGGTCGATCACCAAGTCATGAATCATCTGCCATAGGGCTTTGTCAGCTGCTTGCGATTCCAGGACGTTCGGTGGCCTGAGTCCAGAATCGGAGTCCAGGCGTTGTGTCAGGAACCCCATAAATTTCAATGTGTAGGCCCGAAGTCGTTGCAAATGACAAGCCCCTACCAGAGCTAACGCAGTGTTGTGCACCTCCAGCATGTTTCTGATGGCGTTCACGCCCATACCTTGATTGTTGATGTCCAAAGATGGAGGCTCGTCCCAAATTAATTGATGGAGTTGAAGACCTTCAATTTTTGGGATCTTTGGGCGTTGATAAATGACCATATCTTCCATTCTGGATTGTGTCATTCTGAACTTCCAGGGAATCCACCGGTATTCCTGTTTGGAATGCTGATGATGTGCAAGCGATAATAACCTTGTCGATGGCATGGTCTCCATCGTAAGAACTTCACTAGGGTAATCTTCCAAAAATTGCTTCTTGAATTTTGAAACTGTTGAGGACTGAATCTTGGGAGCAAACGACTCCGCCCAAGAACCCTCTTGCGAGACACTCGCTGATGGTGCTGCCGCTCCATCTGTTGATTCACGCACCGTAGACACAGTCTCCGGTTGAAGACGCTGCCAAGCCACTTTCAAGTTTGCACGCTGAACCAGGGGAATCGGTTGATCTGAGAGTTCAGCCCAGATATCATCTGTAAATCCTGCTTTGGAATCCACTACTGCTGCAAAGTTTTGTGAGTTCCAGCCACCTGAAATCAAATGAGACGATAAGGCAGGATCAACGCCATTCTCTGCCAAATGATCTTCAAGATCGGGCACAGCCATGCACCCCCCAAGAGGAAGGTCGAAACGCAAGCTAACGCAAAGTAAAATAAAATAGCATGACTCAATTTGATGTCTGTGAACCCCCGGAATTATCTGACAGTTCAAGTTGTTGACATGAACACATTTATGAATTCAAAGTGATAGGTGATGAGTGGAAATAAAATTTGACATTATTAAAGTCTTTTTTGGTTTTTTCTGTTTGGGCTTGAACCGTTAAGTCACGCCGAAGAAAAATTCTTGCCTGACAGGGATGCCGTGCTTTGTGCAACAATCTTGAACTGTGATAAAGGTGGTGATGACATGCACTGAATCATGCTGAGTCGGCTGCCGCAGGTTTTTTGACCATTGATGGAGGGAGTTTATCACTCTCCTAAAGCTGATACCTGTTGCCATCTTTTGAAGCAAGCTGCATGTCGACACATACCAAATGTCGGACTGAGCTGCGTGTCAAACACGCAAGTGTCACGGGGCAGTCTGGCTCCGCATGCTGCACGAAAATGTTGGTCATTCCATTTTGGTTGACAGCGATCATCTGTCACAAGCATCATATGTTGAATCCTGGTAACTCGAGCAACAACCAATTCCTCTGCGTCACCAAGAGTGACTTCTTCAGTATCTGAGCCAGAAGCGGAAGATGAGGATGAGCTGCTCGAGGATCCTGATGATTCCACTGACTCCGATATTGCCTGAGGAGCCGTGGTTGGTTCATGCGAAGCTGGAATCCCTTCCAAAATTGGGTCAGTCGTGGCATTGTTGAATTCGAAAAACTTCCAGTTGTATCTTTGATACCCTTTTTTGAAACGCTCCAGCTGCACTGCCGGTTCCTGGATTGGTCTCTGAGAACCTCTGTGAAGAGGTGTCACAAACCTGTGACCAGATTGAACCTGCTGTATCAGGGTATCCTGTAGCGCCAACTGACCTGCTGTGTCATCCCGTGAGTAAAGCCGCATGCTACCTTGACGATGATGACCCTGTAAATGACGCTGTTCTTCTGTAACCAAACCTTTTTGTGCCAACTGATTTGACCAACTCAATGTGGTGGTCTTCAATGAATGCAAGGTGTAGTCAGTAGGGTTGGCTGAGGCTGGCACTACTGAATTCTTCCAGGGAAGTGTGCAAAAATATCGAAGCCAGTGCAAAGCTTGAGAGTATGGCATGGGCACCAATGGACATGAGAATCCTTCTCCGTGCGTCATAGGCAGCAAAAAATCACATTCTGATGGGGTGTCATGCGGATAAGACCAAATGATGTCCAATGACATGAGCCACTGCGCAACCCAAGACCAACTGCCGTGTGAAAGGAATCCACGTGCCTGGATAGCCCAAGGTTGTCCTGATCTTGAAGTTTTTGTCCGATAACATGAACCTCGCAATGCAGTGATGCACCATGACAATGACTTCAATGAAACGCGTTGTCCGTCAGCAAAACGAAGGCCACCCCATAATAAGCAAAGGAAACCGCCCAATATCACCTGTTCTTGGACTGAGCATTCCTTCATAAGGAGGCGTCTTTCCCACTGCACTACCAGAAACAGACTCAAAGGAATTGATTCACGTCGTTCATGATTACCTGGATTGAAAAAGGAGTTGACAATCGGGTCATACAAGCTTTGCCATTCTGATATCATCAAAAGTTTCTGAGCCCATCGCAAAGCCTTAATGGCTGTGGAGGCACCAAAACCCCATTCGGAGTGTTTCCCTTCATGAGCGATTTGCAGCAAATCTGACAAACGATGGCATCCAATGTCCTTCCAAGTCCAGGCAAAGTCCAATAAAAAGCTGTAAATGCACTGCAATGTGTTGATGTATTTGAACAAGGTAGAAGGTGCATATTTTTCCAGTAACCGTTGACAATGCGCCTCAAACTGAGGGGATTGATGATATTCCTGCCAAATAGATGACAAACTGCCCACACTGTTGATGAGAATCATCCAACGTGCAATCAAATCTCTTGGAATGTTGGAGGCCCGTGCCATCAGTGAACCTGCTTTGCATCCACGTGGTGCTGAGACATGTCGAGAAGACTTAGGTTTACTGCTATCTTGTGGATCTGTACTGGAGCGTCCACTGTTAGCTCAGGACCCCACTGTCGCGCTGTCGGCATTGGAGGAGTCGTCAAAGAAACTGGTCTGAAAAATTCAGGTGCCGGTCGACCTCCTCGTTTAAGAGGTTGTTCAAGACTGGTAGCCCTTCTACAAACTGGAGTTGGAATAGCTTTGGGGGCACTTCGTTTCTTTGGAGTAGGTGCTGAAACCAGAATCCAGTCATCTGTAATGCCGTCAACATCCATGGAAAACAAACTTCAAGATGTATCTGAGGCCGGAGACTGAGCTAAACTCGGAGTGTCCACTGTTCGGAAGGTCACACAAGGCCGATATACTGAAATGCAAGCAATGCTGAAATGGTACAGATCCAGATTCAAAGGTCCATGGACTGGAGGTTCAAAAGGCCAATAGTCCAGTGGTGGAATGTACAGAAAAGCAAAAATGATTGTGCGAAGCTCTGCAAACTGAATTGATTGGTCAGTGAAAATCAACTGAAAATTTCGATGGCCCACCACCGCTGGCCGAATCATGAAGCGCCCCACACGCCCGAGAGTGCCAACTAATGAATTGACATGAAATGTTGTACTGTGAAATGAAACAAGTGAAGAAATCTTGCAATGAAAGAACGCAAAAAAGCTAAACCGTGTTGCTGAATGTTGAAGCTGAGAAAACATGAAGCACTTAAAACAAGAAAACAAGCATAAAACGCATGAAAGCCAACTTGAGCCAAAATGTTACCACATTAGTAGATGAAGTCCCACTACCCCAAACCATTAGTGAACAAGTACACTACACATTCTGCATCACCAGCGCTGTGTACAAATAAACCATCAAGAACATGATGTTGTGGCCACCTTACCACTTTCATGCACGAAACGTAGCACATGCGAGCAACATGCACGGGAGTGTAAATTTCCACACCCCTTTTGCTGCGCTTTCCATCCATCCAAATACAGCCAAATTCCAGTGAAGTCACCAAAGACTGCATGTTGTGGTGCGATGGAGGCATCTTTTTTTGACAGCTCCGTCCAAATGGAATGGCCATCCTACTGGCATTAGCGAGTCTTCAAGGCATCCGTCTCCATTCTGCTCGATGACTGTGCCTAAGAAGAGACGCATCTATGGTGTCTTGAGGTTGATATGTGGGCGATGTTTCTGGCGCTAGGAGGCCTCGCTTGGCAACTTCTTCTCGTCTTCGAGAATTTGGGTGCAGAGGAGGCCCGCACATGCGAAGCCTGATTTCAATTGACTTTCCGGCCCCAGAAATGGAACCTGAAAGCGCACAGGTGGTATCAGCTGTGTCCGTTCCCTAGCTCCAATGCGGCGATTGCAATGCAGCACCACCCAGGCAACATTCACCAATCCGTCGCTATTCCGCGCTACTCCGCTACTCCGTGGTATGTTTTAATTCAATTATCCAATGTAATTGACACGATATCGAAACGATTTTCAATACTTCACCTTCCCACATCTTTCCCTAGGCAGATTCTCACTCCATCCCGTTTTAAATTAATACTTTAATATAACGGGATTGACTGAAAAGATAACAACTCATGTTCTTTCTGGACTGCAAACTTCGGTAGGAGTCTAGAGGGGCAAGGGGCGCCAACAAGGGGCAGTAAAGTATTCAATACAATCATTAAATGGAAGCCGACCTTCGCGAAAACCCAGAAACTCCGCAACAGCAAGAAACACTTCAAGCAATCACCTAAGGCTGCAAAAGGCTGATGCGCCTTCTTTTCTTAGCAGCAAACAATCAAGCCACCAGACGAAACCAAATAATAAAAAGCTACTTTCAACTGGGTCTAAGCAGCAACCGATATGCACCCCGCTTGCCCCAACAAGAAACCAAATCATCTACAAAACAGCTTCCTCCAACGGTGTTTCTTCAATCGAGACGCTTCGAGACTTGGCGAGGCCTGGCCAAGGCGGTCTTCCATTTCCGACATTCATATCCGTCTCAGGACCGTGCATGGACAGCTAGCTACGGATCGACTCCCCCCGATGGTCTTCCACGAAGGACGAGATTTGGTGTCATTCTTGAGAGTGATCAGCTCTTGATCATCGTTGTCCGTCCATGGACGGTATGTTGTGTCAGTGGGAGGCCGAGCGGTTTCTGTGGGTTGGAGAATACGAATGGTGGGATTTGGAGTAGGACTAATGGCATGGATGTGCCTGGTGGAGTTAGTGGAAGTGGTGGATGGTCGATATGGACAGATGAAAAGCAGAGCAGGGAAGAGGCAGAGAGAAGAGAAAGATCAGAAGAAAGAAGAGTAGAAGAGAAAGAGTCAGAAGAAAGAAGATGCAGATGCGCGAAAAGGTAGGAAAGTCGCGATGCACTGTGTTTTTCCAATGATTTGTGGCTCCGGAGGGTCGACAAGTAGGCTCGCTAAAGCGGCGGGTGCGGAGCCAGCTGGCCAGATTAGAGATGAAAAATTGCACGCCGTTGTGGTGCGAAGCACATTTCCAAGTCAAAATGTACAAAGCACACCAGCTCCGGACCACTTTTACTAGTTGAGATGTCGAAAAAGTGCACGCCGTTGTGGCGCGAAGCACATTTCGAAGTCAAAATGTGTCGAAAAAGTGCACGTCGTTGTGGCGCGAAGCACATTTCGAAGTCAAAATGTACAAAACACTTGGGGTTCGGACCTCTTTTGGAGGTTCCGATGTCGCTTCGCTTCGCTTCGGGTCACTACACTACACTATACACTCCACTAAACTACAGTACATTGCACTACACTACACCCCACAACACTACAGCTACAGCTACAACTACACAACTACACCCCACTACACTCCACTACACTCCACTACACTAAATTACACTATACTACACCACATTGCACTACACTCCAGTACACTACGTTACACTAGACTACACACTCCACTACACTACACTATACACTCCACTACACTACTGTACATTACATTACACTACACTCCACAACACTGCAA